CAATTAACATATTGATCGATTATTGTACTGGAATGAAAACAGATTACTGTTTGTTATTTTTTTCTATTAGTTTATTCATATTGATCTAGATCTAGAAGGCAAGTTGATTTATTGAACTAACTTCAAGGATAACCGGTTGCCACTATCTGAACCGAGAACGTGGCCGATTACTATTTTTAATGAAGAGAATATTTATTATTAACGTTGTAAAATAGAAACACTTTGCTAGATATTTTATTTTTATTTTTTATTATTAAATACTTCCATAATTGCATAAGATGGAAACCTGCCAATCTTACAACGTATTAAGTTAATTGTACCAATAATAAACAGCATTCAACTGATTAAGAAATAATATGCTTTATGATCTAAAAAGAATAGCTTGCATACCAATAAGACTAGATTTTCATTTATAATACTTAAGGGAATGATACCTGAACCTCGAGGAATTTGAGTCAATAGCCGAATGGTTGATTTTTACTTTCACTTACCTATATATAGAGGAATTGGAATAGGAGGTTTTTGAATGTGGATAGGGAAGGGGCATGTCGATTTTTGATCGGGAGGGAATTCCGAAAGTTGACTGAGCTGGCTACAAAGGTATTTTGGAATGAGGCAGATCTATCAGAAGGGACGTATAGGTCAGAGGGTCGAGATCTTGTAGTGAGGAAATGGATTGAGGACTTAAATTGGAGAAGGTTGTAGGCATAAGAAGGACGATGATCGGTAATGATTTGATAGAGCAATGTGCCTAGGAAATATTGTCTTATTAAGGAGAGTAAGAGCCACTCTCACTCTAAACGGGATAGTAAGAAAAAGAAATGCGATCGTGGAAAATTTTCGAATCACAGTTTTCCACGGAAATACACGTTTTGAGGTCCCCCAAGTCGAAATAACGAATTCCCGCAATATAGTATGTGTGTATGTGCTCAGTCTAGCTCAATAACGAAAAGTTTTATGAAAGTGAAATTGCATATTTAAGGTTTGTAGATACCTGGGATGTTAAAGCAATTTTTTGGTCAAAATTGGGCGACCGGAAGTTGCACTTTGTATAACCGATTTTCCAAGTTTTTACAATTTTCTCAAAAATGGCACTAACGGTTTTGACACTCGGTGTGTTAATGTATAATTATATGGTCTTTAATATCAGACAGGTTTTATCCCCATTGGTGTTGCTTAACAGTGCATACACGCCCAATGTTCAAATTATACTTCCCCTAAACTACCTTTAATTTGGTTCATTTTGAATAATGAACTATCTCTCATTGTTACCAGTAATAATAAAAGGCTAAATATAAAGTATGAAATAATTTGATACCTGACTAAAGGAGAAAAAATATATAAATGTTGTTCCGGAAATAAAATTCAGAAGGTATATGTACAGTATATGCTTGGAAAGCGGAAAATTTCAAAAAAACAAAACAATATCGAACATACAAAGTCGTAGAGAGTAATTAAGTCACGGAACAATTATGTGCTATTTTTAAAATCGATGGAAGTACCACAGTAACTAACGGCCGACATATAAAAGCTGTGGATGTATACTACATGTTCCATTGCAACATATAATTTATGATGACGCTGTACCACTACAAGCAATGAAGAGTCTTGGTTTCAGTACTAAATAAGTCCAACGGTTGAGCAGAGTCGGGATCACGCTCAATCAGTTTTCCCCTTAATTTATTATTGAATTAAGATTATCCACTTTATAGAGGCTGGGTCTGCCCAAGGAGGGTCTTCCGACCTCAGGGTCGATGAAAAATGACTTTTCATCAGCAGTATTCGAACACAGGTCTCTGAGCTTCGAAAGTCAGTGCTTTAACACTGAGCTACACCACTCCCATATAATTAACGATACTTTCCCGAATTCGGTTGATCAGTTTTATAGAATAAAAGTTTTCCTAAAGTGTCAAAAGTTTTTAAAAGTAAGCTCTCCCGCTCAATCTCCACTGGATTTACTCCCCCCCCCCCCAGTGACGCGGTTGACAGAGAAGTACAAAGATCTCCTGGAATCATGTTTTTTCCTCCACAGTTGGTGGGAAAAGTCTGGCTCAGAGTTCTCTCTCCTGATTGTAAATAGTGTATATACTATATATGTGATCTTTTTTATTTATTTATTTTTAGGTTATTTTATTCTTATTTATTGTATATATTATTTTTCTGCATAATTTATTTTATTTATTGTACATAGTGTGTGAATGTGATCACTGAACACACTAATCCAACTATTATTAATGTCATGAGAAGGAGTTAGTCGAGGGTGCGGTCAAATAAATAAAAAAATTAAAATACATAAATAATTTTAATTTTTGCCGACGTTTCGACCCACTTTGCAGGTCGTCTTCAGGGCTACAAAAGATACAAACATGTTGAAAAATAAAATAAAAAAATAAATATAAGTATATATAAATTACGAAGAAGTTGTCAGATACAGAAATAAAAGATAAAGAAAATAAATACATGATAAGAAAATAGATAAAAGAAAATAAATACATGAATGTTAACGAATAAATGAATGTTTACGAATAAATGAATGTTAACGAATAAATGAATGTTAACGAATAAATAGATTGAAAATTGAATAACTATTGTTACAGTAAAGTTAAAATATGGATAAGATAATATATTAATATGATATCAGTGGATAACAAGCAAGTGGAGGTTACCTTTAATTGTAAATAAACAGATAACGGGACTAAAGGTTAAGAAGTGAAGAAATTGAAAGATTAATAGGGTAACATTAGTGTAATATCGTTGGGATAGATTATTAAGTATAAATAACTCTATTAGAAAACAATAATTTTAAAAGAATACTTTAAAATGTAAGAATAAATGTAAAAACAAGGTTATGATGATAAAGAAACAAAAAACAGGTTGTACTATATATAGATGACAATTGACATTTAGTTTTTTGAAAGCGGTAATGGAATGGTAGGTTGCATGAAGATAATAATAAGGTGTATAGTTGAAGGATCATACATTTTAAAGTATTCTTTTAAAATTATTGTTTTCTTATAGAGTTATTTATACTTAATAATCTATCCCAACAATATTACACTAATGTTACCCTATTAATCTTTCAATTTCTTCACTTCTTAACCTTTGGTCCCGTTATCTGTTTATTTACAATTAAAGGTAACCTCCACTTGCTTGTTATCCACTGATATCTTATTATTATGTTATCTTATCCATAGTCCAACTTTACTGTAACAATAGTTATTCAATTTTCAATCTATTTATTCGTTAACATTCATTTATTCGTTAACATTCATGTATTTATTTTCTTTTATCTATTTTCTTATCATGTATTTATTTTCTTTATCTTTTATTTCTGTATCTGACAACTTCTTCGTAATTTATGTATACTTATATTTATTTTTTATTTTTTCAACATGTTTGTATCTTTTGTAGCCCTGAAGACGACCTGCAAAGTGGTTCGAAACGTCGGCAAAAATTAAAATTATTTATATATTTTAATTAATTTATTTATTTGACCGCACCCTCGACTAACTCCTTCTCATATCATATCAACGGTCAACCATCTCTTCATTATTATTAATGTCTTTTGAGACAGATTGTAATAATTTTCGATAAACAAGTTCAGGCAAAAAAAAAAAGAAGTAAGTTGTGGATATTTCCATACCTTTATGATTGACATAAATACCTGTTAATAAATATATAGTGGCTTGTATTTATAGTCTGAACTTGAATCTATAGAGAAAAATCTTTATGAATTGGGTTAACCTATATTTTTTATCGGCCCAAGTTGGTTATTAATGTTGTCGTTTTCATTTATTGGCTATTAGTAGAACAGCTAAGTTATAAAAATTGGTTACTGCCCGATATCGGGATGAGAAAGAAATATAAGAGGTCAGAGAGGAAGGAAGAAAGGAGGTAAGACCAAGGCAATTTTGATAGGCTCCAGTCACCTCTTTAAAACTCTTCCTAACACACCAATCCTGTTCCTACATGATAATCCCATCAAATTTTATCCCTCCATTAAGAACCTTGGAATAACCCTTGATCAAACCTTTTTCTGGAAAAACCATATATCCGATATTTGCCGCCGTGCCATTTCTATTTTAAAATCACTAAATTACCTCTGCCATCTATGTCCATTTGAAACCCATAAATTCCTTATTACTCCCTTAATATTTCCTCACATCGACTATTGCTGTACAGTACATGAAGGCATATTCAGGGATTTCGAGGCGAAACTAAAACTTTTGATTAATCGCTTTGTACGAATCATCTACGGGATCCCAAGGGACGCCTCTGTTTCCTGTTATTATGAAGAGCTGGAATGGCTTTATCCTTCCTACCGATGTATTTTCTAGCCTCTTTCAAGTCATCCGATCTCGTCGCCCTTCATACATCTCCGAGCTCCTTCAATTAAAATCCTCTGTCCACTCCAGCAAAACCCGTTCCCGGTCTTCAGATTTGAGTACAAGATCCCACCGAACCGCTGCTTTCGACAGATCTTTCATTATTCCATCCACATCCCTATGGAATTCTATCCCATCCTACATCCTTCAATCCAATACCCTTCCTATTTTTAAATCTCGCCTGTTCAATCACTTCTTATCCGTCCAGTTCTCATAAAATTGTAAATGTATATATAAATAATTAGTTTGTTTTAAATACTTTTATTACATTTTTTTTAAATTGAGGATTGAAGGTAAATAATATTCTTTTCTATATTCATTATATAAATAGGTTTATTTTTTTATTTTTCTCTGAGCTTCCACACACACATTTCTATCTCTGTACATTATTCTAAAGGGACTTTTCCCAGAATACATGAAGCATTATTATTATTATCATTAATATTAAGAAAAAGGGTGCGCCTGGAAAAATCTCGCCCACGGCGCTCACATCCCACGCAACAGCTCTGATTGTTATTACAGATTATTAATGTAGATTTAGGTTATTTATTGACGTACCAGATAAATATTCCATCCACTATATTTTATAATTAAAAATGTATTGTTTCTGCCTAGCTCCTTACATAAAGAAGTGTAAGAATGACAAAACATTAAACGAATGCATCTTGAAGAACTCCAAGGAAGCAATCAAGGGACTGGTTAAAGGTAATAATATAATTTATTATTATGTAGCTTTGAATTACTTTGTTCATTATCTCTAACTTATTTTTTTTTCATCACTATTAAAGATTAATAAAAAAAAAATAAAGTTGCAGAAATAAATAAAAGAATCATAAATGGAGGCATATATTCATTGATATGCAAAGTGTTTACAAAACACCATTTTTCTCCCATTTCTCTTTCAAAGGAGTTGATCAGTTTTTATAAATGACAAATTTCATTTTTTTAGTCCTAAGATTTAAGTTTTTATAGAAATATTTGAAGCAATAGCAAAGTTTTTTTGTCTTAAACGTAGATATTAAGGCTAGAAACATTAACGTTGTCACTTGAGGTGAATCTCAAGTTTTGCCTAATAAACCTCAATTTAATTAATATAAACTTAAACCTTATTAAACTTGATTTTCTAAAAATGGTGTAACTATCGTATAGTCGGATTGTGATTAAAAAAAAATCGCGAATAATTCAAGATTTTTTTTTAAGCAGAACTTAGCTTAGTTTATTCGCTTAAATGTTTTTAATAATGACAAACTCTCTTAAATTTAAGAAAATTTTGTCTAGTTTACAGTGAAGTAATTATTAACTACCTAAATTAAATATTTCTTTTGTTATCGCTTCCTATTCAACAAAAAACATGACTCTTCTAAAAAAACATAAAACTTGGATTCCCTACTTTTTTATTGGGCAATTGTTTCTATGAACGTTTTTGTAGATCATGAGATTTTCTGTCTCTCATATAAAAATTTCTCTCTATTTAAGGGACACACTGTATATGTATATGTATATGTATATTTTTTTGACTTTACGAATCCTTTAGATCTTTTGCCGCTTTAATCTCTGCCTTTCTTGGGCTATTTCTTTCCATTTATCTGCATGCAGCTCTATTGCACCTATGTTGATTTAATCTATCCATCTGGTCTTTGGCCTTTCCATTGGTCTCTTGACTACAATTGAGGCATTGTATGTTGTTTAAAGATTTCCTAATGGTTTGTTCTGAGCTACACCGCGCCCCGCTCATCTTGACCGCCTCGCCTTCATATCATGCTATATTGACTGAACAGTTTCTGTAAGGATTTTTTTATTGTTACTTCTTCGCCATGAATTAATACTCTGATTCCAGATTACTCTGGTTATCGTGCAGGGAGTTTTTTTTTCAAATATTTCATTATGCAAATCCTCTTGATATAATACAAAGTATTTTTTAAACACAACTTATCGATGCTATAGTGAATCGATTTCACTCAAACGAAATGATGTTTCAGGTGATGCTAAATTAGGAATTCCAGTCCTGGAACCTCTGAAGGTGGACAAGATCGAACACACCACCAGCGCCTCCAGGAGTGTATCATTGAACTTCACGCTATCTGAAATAAACGTTTACGGTATTCCAAAATCAGAATTAGTCAAGTCAGAGTAAGTGCTGTGTCCAACTTTAAGGTATAATTCAATCAAAGAAACAATAATAAATGTTAGCATGTTTGAAAAACGAAAGACTTCAAGTCGGATAAAACTTGAAAACAATGTTTATATTTTTTTCTTATTTCTAAATATCTTGGTTGTTTTATTTCGTACTAACCTAACCTTCATAACTCATCTCCAGGCTATACGGGTCAGGAGTGAGGGCGAGGCGTTAATGCTTTAATTAAAAGCTTCACCGGCGCCGGAATTTGAACTCGTAAACTTCGGTTTCTCACCACTAGCTCCGGGCAACACATGATTGCACACTCGGCCATCTTAATTCTAGGCTTCATTTTTTACTTTCCTGCCTATACTAGGTAAGGAAAGTATTGCAATCGAGTCAAATTTCCGACATGCGGTTTTCGACGGATCTATACGTTTCAGAGCCTCCTGAGTCCGAAAAACACATTTTTAGCCATTGGTCTGTCTGTCTGTGCCAAGATTTTCTCGGGAACTACTGAACCGATTTTGTTGCTTCTTTTTTTATTTTGTAGGGTTTTGACTACTGATGGCTGTGACAGAAATTCGGTGCTCCATGCGCAATAGCTTGCGCGCAATAAATGAAAAACATGTTTTCCTATAGACTGTAGCAACGGCCCGTTTATCCTGGTGTCTGAAAGGGGTGAATGAGAGAATAAAGATGACTAAGTGAAATAAGGAAAATCTGTTGCCCGCATCACACAACCTTCACTATTTCCTGTGCTTTCAACATAAATGATCGTTTGTCAATACTAAGCTATGCCAAAAAGTTTTTGATCAGAAATATTAGGAAGTATTGAAATTTTTACACTGATCTATCTTAAGCCAGTTTACATTGCTTTAATTTATCAAATAAATTAAATCTTATGTTTGATCAATTTTCAGGAAAATGTATCAAGTTCAATTCTTTTTTGTTTCTTCATGATCATATGTAAAGATATAAAAACTTTTTGAAATAGGTAGGAAAGTCGTGTGAGTGGACACACCAGTTTTTTAATACTTGAATTGCTTATCTGAAAGTAAAATTGTTTTATCAAATTTTATGACTTAAGAGAATTAAGAAAAACTTCTTTTTTTTTTTTGTTTCCTAATGGGTACTTATTATGAAGGATGCCCATCCTCCTCCCAAGACATTTTATTGCTCAAAAGCAACCTAACGTAGAATTAGAAAAAACCTGTTCTATATTTTCCCTTTGATCCCTTTGTCCGAAAAGTCATAATCCTCTTGAAATTCGTCCCCTCAAAAATTAAAAAAATCTTTAATCTTCTGGACACTCCTGATTGCTATACAATTTAACCGCGGTAATAACAAATATTTATTTATTATTATTACTTGGGTGGCACCCCTTGTCCGTCCGGCGGCTGACCAACCCTCATTTTACAAATTATACAAATGAAAAGGGCTTATGAAAGACAGAAATAGTTGAAGAAGAGAATAGTTGATAACTTACTTTCTGAACACAAAAGCAATTTGGATGACAGGATTTGGGCGCAGTATCCGGAAACCCGCACGGCGTTTGTGCTTTGCGGGCATTCCGCCTTATTTGTAAAATTAATATTATAATATGGTCACTAAAAACTTTTTTATATAATAGAGAAGTTATCATTTTATAAAATTGATAAAATTTTTCTTTTATTGCAGGTTAGACACTTCAAAACACATTATCAAGTTTAATTTTAAAATACCACAATTGAAATTAAAGTGTAATTACAATTTGAACGGAAAATTCTTGGTTGTTCCAGTAGTAGGAAATGGAAAGCTAACCTTAACAATAGGTAATAATAAAGTTGAACTGGTACTTTATTGCATTTATACATAATTGAAATTATATCGTAATTAATAGTTAATTAAGTATTTTCTTTTTATTCCTCTATGCATGACTAATGTTCATAATTATTGAACTCTGTTATTATTCTTAGGTAGTCTCGGAATAAAATTATTTTTTCATTCCAAAATTTTTTTTCTGGTTCATATATTTGAATTTTTTACAAAACAATAACTATAAGGACTGTAAGGATAGATTGACTGTAATAAACTGTAAGGATAGATCATGAAAAAAAAAAATAACTTTTAGTTATGATTTGACCATATGTCCGCTAAAGTAAATATGACCGAAATTTTGGAATGACTTATAAACAATGTTTTGATTGTTAAAATATATCTATAAATAATTTTTGGCTATAGATTATTAATGAGAATTTATATTCACCACAATATGAAGAGTGATTGCTCAATGTACTGTAATCTCCTAGGCCCAGGTTTTAGCCCTGCTGTGGCAAATAATCTACTAAACAGACTCTATAATACAAAGTGGATTAAATGGGGGAGAACTAGGTGATTGAGGAAGATCATGAGTATTTATTTAAACCCTCCCATGACAATACGGCAATACAGATGTACGTAGCAGTGTGATGTTAAGCTATCCACAAAGCTCTTTTTTTTTTTCTCTTTATAAGTTATTGAAGAATTAAATTTCATGTCTTCAATAAGTTAAGATTAGCCTGCAGAATCTTTAGGTCTTCTCGGATTTTTTCCTGTTTTTCTTCTGCGGGCACCTATATTGAAGTGAACTGGACTTACTGCCATCTTACATCCAATTCTACCAGTACATCAATGAAAAGGCTATGAAGCTTTGCTCAAAATCCGCCATGTCCAGTGATGATTTTGGAAATCCAGTAGTCCTGGACGACCCATCTATTTGTGGCCTCGATACTAACATGGGAAAGTAAGTCCTCATGTACTTCTTCAGAGGTACCCACCTCCATGTTTTAATCATGTTCTTCTGGATTATTTTCTTCCATCTATTAAGCTTATCCATAATCCACCTAAATAAACTTTTGAAAGGACTGCAAAGCCTTCTCTCTTATATAAACATTTTGTCACTTCTTTTAGCAGGAGTAGGTTGAGAGGCACTGTACTTGTTAACTCTTGTACCATCGTTTCATGAGAAGATGATCTGTATGATTCGGTGACCCACAGTAGAGCTGTCCTCTGAGTCAATGCCTATTTCTTTGTCTTAAGCATGATCACGACTAAATCACCTTGCACAACCATTGGCTTAGAAACAGCACTTATTTTGACGAGTGGGAAATTTTGTATTGTGCTAATTCCCCTCTCCTCTAAAAATAATGTTTTATCAGTATCGTTGTTATTCTACCTTTGTTAAGATTTAAAGTTTTAATGTTTTATTTTTTTTTACAGACAATGTCTTTGCTACATTCTCTACTAATTATAACCTTGTGAAAAAGAAAGGTGCTGAATACATTGATTTGGTCTTGCCAGCCAAACTTACATATACAACAACCAAAGTCAGCCCTGTGTTTGAAAATCTCTTCAATGGTGACAAGAACCTAGGTATAAAAAATTTTGATTACTTTTCTACTAAGGTTTAGACAAAGTATTTTAGAAAAAAACTTTATTCCATAAAAATTAATTTTCTATGACCATCATGAAATTTCTTCCATGCCCATAAATTGTATACCCACCATTGAACCTACTGCTTAGAAATATTCAGAAGCTTTGCTAAACTCATCCAGTTATATCTTATAATTTTTTTTTCCATTTCGGTCATTGTTTAACTTAAATAAGGTTTTGTAAAATGAATGGAACTTGCCAGCAGAATTAAACAAAGAAATTTTTCCTTATTATTAAATTTTATTTAATGTCCATGATTGATTTATATTTACCTTGTCTTAAATGAATTTCAATTCATCTGTGTCAAAAGATATTTAAAGTGTTATTCCATCTAGGCATTTCGCTCTTTTAAGCTGAGTTTGAAATTGTTTAAATAAGTTTCTTTTTAGTAGTAGTTCCAATAGAACTTTTTTCAAAGACATTTAAAAAAAAAAGTACTGCATGTGCTTTAGACCACAGGATAGAAGTTAAAAGATCAATAAGGCGAGACTAATAATATGAAATATAAATTGTAAATAATAGCTCATTAAAATGAGGATGAAATGCGGAACATTTCCCTCACTTACAGTATGCAGGTTCAATTTTTAATTTCTGAGATATTATAAACCATATCTTCAATAAAACTCATTATCATTTACTTTTCGACACTATTTTTTCCCTTTTCACTTCTCTAACATGGTGTCCTGTCAAGATAAAATTTTGAATTATAGCCTATTATAGAGAAGATGAAACGTTGAATAATTTCCTCGCTTACAGTATACAGATACGATTATTAGTTTCTGAGATATTTTAATCCATATGTAAAAACATATTAATTAGTCGACTCTAGCTGGCTTTACTCGAGCGTTAACACTTCGGAATGCTGAGGGATAAATCTAATTCACTCTCCACAAATAAAAGTGCAAAACGCGCCTAGAGAAGTTTTCACTTAAAAAATAAAATTTCTTAAAACAACTATTGAAATCATTGAACAAAACAAATTATTGAAATGAAGTTCTGTACAAATTGTAAAAGTTTACAACAACAAACGTTGTGTTGACTGAGAAATAAACAGTAATTGGGTTATTTAGATAATGGATATAATTAATCTTGAATGAATTACCTTATTCACATATTAATAATATATGGAAATATTTATTGTTTTTTAAATTTACTTTTAGGAAAAATTATTTGCTTTAACAGAATTTTTAAAATAAAAATTCTATGAAAATTTTAATTGAATTGTTGCATTGGAAAAATTTTTTGCTCGAGATTAATAGAAAAACAATAAAAAATAAAGATTCCAGTCATATCAGATTGATTACAAATAAAGGCAATTTTTCTGATAAAAAACTTATAACTTAAAAAAAAATTAGTAACACAAAAACAAAACAATAAAAAAAAAAAAATGCAAATCCATGAACTGAAACGAACAACCGATTTATTTATATTTTCATCTAAAATTTTAAAATATTTTTAAGTGGGATAAAAACATCAATATAAGTTAAAGGTAAATATGGTTAACTTATAAAATGATAGAGGTAATTTTTAGGAGTTGTCGAAGGTAACAAAAGAAAGCTTGATGTTTTAATTAGATTTTGATGTTATTTGATGTCAACCATTTACTGACTGAGTAAGATTTCCTTAAATATTGGTCTGAAATTCCACCAAATATAGGGCTTGAAATTTTCATGGAAATTTCAGTTTAACATTTTAGAGAGATTGTTTTTTAAGAAATTTCTTGTAATGAAATAGTCGGTTTACTGTGAAAATTTAACTTTACTATGACGGTTTACTATTAAACTGTTAATTATTTATGTTTTTTAAAAAATATTATATTAAATGATAAATAAAAAGTTAATGGGCTCATATTACATAAATGAAATTTATTGAATGAATATCATGATAATAAAAAATAATAGGTGATAAGTAGTCAGGATGTAATCATTTTAAGATTTTTATTGTTGCAAATGAACTCAAGCATGTGGCTGATCATCAAAGCTGAAATTTTTTATCACATCAGAGATATGATATAAAAAAAAAACAGATGGTAGTTTTAAACGCGTCCTGAATATCTATCACCAATGAGATGTAGTCGACTAACTTCCTTCAATAATTCAATCAATAATAATAATGACAATATTGTCACAACTGATTAAAAATAAATAGTTAAAGTGTCATTTCAAGCCTTGCATAAATCCATCATTGTTGCTTAGAAAATAAAAATATAAGAGAAATGTTCAATAAATAAATTTGTTTTTGTTTACAAATTAATTGGAAGAGTATAAAAGGTTATTTTTTACTCATAAATTCATTTGTGTCTATTATTAATATTTCAATTTATAATATTTCATTAAAATATGATAAAGTTTTTACACAAACCCCTTTTAACTTGCAACCTTTTATTTCACAATTTATTTATTTATTTATTGAATAACATAACATTTCATCACTTGGGCATTTGTTATAGGGAGGTAGAATCTATTTTGAAGACATAGACAAATAAAAATGAAAACATTTTTTTTATGCAAGAATTATTATTTAACATTTTGGCTCTAAAAAGCCATTTTCAACAATCTTTTCTTTCAAAAACAAAACATTAGTCATAAAATAATTATTTCTAAAAATTGTTTAAATATATATATATAATACTACTTAAAGCTGGTATTTGTCAAATTGAATATAAAATGTTTTGTTGTTTTTCTTTTTTTCCAACCTCTACAAATAGTCTGTTTTTTCTCTTCATTCTATCAAAATGTCACTTAACTTTTATAACAAAATTTCCTTCATAAACACTATATCATTAAACATTTTCTTTAGGCAAAATTATATCACAGAAAAATGCACATAAAAAAAAACAAACTAAGAAAAAAATCATTTACCTTATTTTATTTTATTTTCACCACCATTTTCATAGTAATTTTACTTAGCTGTAGTCTAGACTGATTCACTACAATATCAAGGCGCTAGAATGCTAGAATAACGTAATTTTTTTGTAAAAATAAGGTTCTTTCTTGTATGTTTATATTTTAGGTGAAATTATGTTTTACTATATAAAGAAAGGTTGTATTTTTCACCACATTTATTTTCATTTCTCCTCCACTGTGGCTACGTTTCAATTATGAAGCCATTATCAAGCGATCTATAAGACCCATACACAATCAGGTCATAAAAAACCACACATTTAAAATAATATAATAGTGATTTTAGTCATCTATTAAAAAGCAATATTATATAAATAATGATCTTAAGGTTTAATGACTTAACCCAATTAGGGATGATTAAATAAGGAGAAATGAAAAGAAATGTGGTGAAAAATACAGCCTTTCAGTAAAAGGTTTTTGTTTTTTTCAAAATTCAAAATAAAGGTTTTGGCTATCTTAAAAAAATATTATAATTTTATAATACAGTCATGTCGTATATCAAAGAAAGAGCTCCAAAACTATTATAAAAAGGCACAGTTATTTGAGATGTTTATTATTAGGTAAAATTTGAGTTTAATTTTAATTAATTATGTTTATGATTTTTAGAATTAACATTATCTATTGAATTTTTTAAAATCATAGTTTTGGCTTATGTTTTTTTTTAGATATGATTAAAAATTTATTGCATTTTGCAAGTTTTCTGTTATTTTTTGCAAGATTTGTCTTCTAAAAATATTAATGAATTTCAATTAATTTATTTCTAACAAATTGAATACTTTCAGGAGACAATTTCAACCAAGTAGTCAACGAAAATTGGAGAGAGTGGGACTCCCAAGTAGGGCCTGGAATCGCAGACGCTCTGGGCCAAGTTATAGGTTCCATCTTGAAGAGAGCTACCAGTGCAGTCCCTTACAACGATGTATTCGTTTAAGCTGTTTTGTTTTTATCTACTGGATATCTATAAGGCTATGGTCACCATGCAGCAGTATTTTTATTTAAACCGATTGCTTGTGTGAACCCTTATAAATTAAACATAATAACTGACCTTAATATTGTGTTATTAGTAATCATTCCTTCTTCCATGAATTGTTCTGTTTTTCAGTTTAGTACAAAGAAGGGTGTGCCACAGCGCAAGTTATGCAATCATAATGTTTAAAAGGAGCACATTTTATATGCTATATAATATGATTTTAGTTCGGTTTCTAGGCGAACTTTTAAACCAGAAAAAAAGGGAGAAACTTACCCGAACCAGACAGCAGCATATATAATTGTTTATGAAGTACAATAATTCTAAATCTACTTTTGCTTGTACTGTATTTAATAAAGGAAAGCAATACAATTTATTGAGTGAAGGAGTATGCGCGATTGACCTTGTGAGGGAATAGGCACCACTAATTGAGTCTTTTTTTTAGTATTTTTTTTATTTTGAATATAAAAGGCAAACAGTTACTTTGGTAATTACTTTTAGTTATTTTTTCTTCTGTTTATTTTATATTTGTATGTATTATAAATATATTGTGAATATGGTCTTACTTCACCATAACTGTTGTCCATGTGAAAGAATATTACTCAATAAATAAATATTTTTACTTTACTGGTTTGGGTAGTAACTATTAGGGCACCAGTGATGGACATAGTGTATGCAATGTTTGTCAGTTTTGCCTTATTCTACCATAATTATTATAGTTATAAACTTCTCCGTTGGAAATTTAGAATCTCTTTTTCCTATTTAACACTTTAAAATTGAAAAAAAAAAAAAGCAGTCTTGCAGGTATAATCTCCATTTAAAAAAACATCATTTTACACTAGTGATGGACACCCTAATATTCAATTGTTCTAATAATGGACAGGGGGTTGTTACCAGTTATAGACATACCTCAGAAAAATTCTAAAATCTGTGTTATTAAGATAACGATAAAGATACGATAAAATAAATGATCAACTTACTCTTAGCAAATCTTAGTAGGGAGGTATGAAACAGACTGATTTCAAGAGCACTAAAGAAACAAACTGAGGATAATCAAACCGACCGTCAGTTGTTGGGCCTCGTCCTCCAGAAAGTGTAGAAGAGAGGAAGTAGTCATCACACGCCTCAGAATTGGACATTGCCGGTTGACCCATGGCTACCTGATGGCAAGGGAAGATCCACCTCACTGTCAACTCTGTAAAGTGGCTCTCACAGTGAGCCATATCTTTGAGGAGTGTCCTCGCTACAGGAGAGAGATGGATGGACGTGGTGTACCTCGTCAGCTCTGTGAGGCACTAACAGATAACGAACAACGTATCGATAGTACCATTGAATTCATTAAGAACATAGGGCTAATTCAAGTAATCTGAACTAAATTATTTTTTCTCACAAATTTGCAATATATTGACTTTATTTTTATATACTCTATACTTTTTTTTTTTTCTCAATAGTAATTTATATATAATTTTTTTTCATTATCCTTTTTTAAAACATATTTAATTTTATAATAATAGTTTTAAGATTGAAAAATCAATCAGTAAAATTTGAGGGCAATGATAACCGTCAGCAGTTTTTTGTCCGTAAACCCAAAAAATCAACAACTGAAGAAATAACAATTATAGGCAATTTATTATTATTTTTTTTAGAACTTTGTTCATACAGTTGTCAATAGAGGGCATTTTTCTTCAATCTAGAAAAAAAATGGAACCTTTAAATCAACAAGGAAGCTTATTATTTACATTTAAAGTCCAATCTGTCCATCACTAGATCCCCTGTCACTAGGCATTCATCCTACTTAGATATTTATAAGAATCAATGTTTATCTACATAAAATAAATAAAGTAAAAATGGCAAAATAAATAATAATATTTTTTTTTAACATTTGCCGACGTTTCGACCTGAAGTTTAGGCCTTCATGAAGGCAGATCGAAGAGATCGCTTGGATAGAATGGAGGTATTTTTTTTATATGTAAAAAAACATGAGTTGATTTCTTTTTGAACACATTATAAATCTATGAATACATATAAATGAACATTTTATAAGATTTTCATATTGCATATTGTAATTTACACCTTTATTAAAAGTGAGTAAAAAGGTTTTAATAAATTAATGTTGAACAATTAAAAGGCAAGCTAATCTAGTTCTACTAGTATCAGGAAAAGAAAATGGCTACTCTGTAGTTTCCCAAGAAGGAAAATACAAAAGAGGAGAGGAACAAAGGTTTTTGTTTTGGCAAAAATTTGGTGGGTGGCTGTAGTGAAGAGAGGATAGGAGAAGGAACCTGGCTCCAGTGAGTAAAACCCAGTAACAGTGTTACCATTTTTGAAGTTGTGTTTGGCAGAACATTGGAAAGCATTTGAAGACAATTGGATTTAGTGCAACAAAGGAAGAAAGATTGTATGTAGAAAAAAGGTTAGCTTGTCAATTCATACTTGACTTTATTTTATAATCAGTGTTTAACTTTAATATAAATAGTATAAATAACAATAGTTTGTCTGAGTTGATCTGATTGTCAGTAACCCACACCTGAGATAAAGAAATATATTAATACTCTTATAATTTTGTTTTTATTTAATAACCTCTTATTTCTTTTGGAAGTATCCTAAGGGTATAAAGTGATCTTCTGAGGTTATATTATTATTATTATTTTAAAATATAAGAGGGATGTTACAATATTTTGCCACCATTTGATTAATGTGCTTAAAAGGCATAAAAGGCATTTTGTATATTTTGAATAATTGAATTTATTTTAGAGATATACTATTTTAAATTAATAAGATTACAGGTTAATTTGTTTGTCAATAATAAGACAATATTTACCAACTATACTTCAAATGATAAAATATTTTTTATCATTTATGAAATCACTATTGGGATGTAATTTTTTATGAAAATGAATTATAATCCAAAGAAGTTAATTTTGGTACAAGCTAGCACTAGCGGACCTATAGAGAGGGGTAGGGATGGGCGATGGTCGATAATACTATTGATATATCGGTAGTTTGTATCCTCTCCTTAGACACAAAAGGACTTAAAGGAATAGACTCCTTATACTTAAAGGAATAATTTTAATTACACGCCTTCATTCTTCTGTCCATTTATTGATGTATGGGATATAGTGATAATATAACAATGTAAAAGTTAAATGTTTGATAATGGAAAACGGCCATTGTATAATAGAAATGTCACATTAAGAGAATAAATGGATAGAAATGTGAAGGCATGTTTAAAACTATTCTTATCAGTATACAAAACATACTAAATTAAATAAGGTAAAAAATAATTCAATCTCAAATTACTTCCTTAGAAATATTTTTACAACTCAAGTTGTGCCGATGGAGAAAATGTTACATTTACCTCACATTTTAATTTTTTTTTTCATAAAAAAATATAATTATAAAATCTACTAAGATGCAATTAGAGTTTTATTATGTTTTATACTAGATGTTATTTTCAAATAAAATATAGAATCTTGGAAATTAAAAGATACACACATTTCTTGCCTCCTTTTTTAACCAAATAGTTAAAACAATAGTACCTATATGTCATAGATTTTTCTTGTTTGAATTCAACAATCAGGGAAATAAATGCAATTTATTTGTTTATATAAATGTATCAAATTTTTATAATTATTTATTTAATAATTTTTATTAGTGCCTTAACATAAATCTTTAAGAATGTATCCAATATAAATGTTAATTATTATAAAACTTATGCAGTATTTTAAATTAAATAACTAAAGAATACAGAGAAAATAAGTACAGTTACTAAACTATCAATAGTTTTTTATCGAACTATCTATAGTGGAAAATTATTGATTATCGCCCAACCCTAGAGAAGGGCTTTTGAGCTGAAGAGCCCACAAAAAGGATTTTTTTATTTTTCATTGGTCCACATTTGTTAATGTGAGTGATCTAAACTAAATACTTAAACAAGCACAATATGTTCTATTTTAACAATTATAATCCAAATACAGTTACTAAATATAATCATGTCTTATGAAAAAAAATATTATACACTTAATAATATCAAGTGAATCTTATGCGCAAAACTTGTATTGTATATTTTTATTTGATTTGATATACCACCAAAGTCATAATTAATACCATCAACAATATTATAGCACAATAAAGATTTTATACAGTGTACAGCACATTGTGAAAAGTTAATTGGGGAATTAAATAAGTAATCTAATCGAGGTATTCTCTAATGGACTTTCCCTTGCTTTATAATTGATGTAAAAAAATGGTAAACTTTTGAATAACCTAAGAGTCTATTAAAATATACCAAATGGGTGAACGTAGTAAAGATACTTCATTTGTATTTAAAACACTTACCTTGTATTTAAACAAATTCTATAATCGTTCAATATTCAATTTAAATTTCGATGGTGAGAAATGCGAAGATCGAAGATAGAGTTATGTATTCCTAAATGATCTTTAAAATCACAAATCGTAAGAAATAAAATAAAATATAAAAAAAAGAACAGTTAGATCCCGAAATGTTTAATTAATTGTAATATGGATCACCAATAGAACCAGAATTTAATTTTTGGGAGAGAAACTACCTACATCAAATAGTGTTCAAATGGTTCTTGAAGTAATTTTGTACCTTTTCTATTTTGTGTATATTGATACATTTTCTTTTTATCTTTTTTACATTATTTTAAATTTTTATTCTCTAATACGTTGTCAGTAAGATTTAATAGATTTTACAATATCTCAACTTTCTATTTATATCTATCATTTCCTTATATAACTTCATATTCCTTTTTTCTGTTTATATTTTGTTCTATGATTATCTCACTTCCTTTTAGCATACTGTTACATCATATTTTAGCAACTATGTCACTCCATTTATATATAAATGTATATTGTCTGCACTTATGTTTATTATCTTATACATTCCACTACTTTTCATTGTTAATTCATTTTTCATTTCTTATGTTACCTTATTTTGATTATGTTTATTTCATTGCTGCCATTATTATTTATTTCTTAGTTCTCTGTCACTGTTATTATTCTAATGACTTTATTTATCTTTAATGTTCACTCTATCTTCTTTATTTTACTTTACATTTTTTTTTAGTCTTTACCTTTATCTTTTTACTTTTAATTCTTTATTATTCAATGTTAATAGTTTCTCATACCTATTGTTATCTGTTATTTTTCTTAGCCCTGATGAAGGCCTGAATTTTGGGGCGAAAAGTCGCCAAATATAAAAAATAAATATAACTAATTATTTTAACTATTTTTTTTACTGAACCCCGACATTTCTTCTCTTCAGTCGGTTTTTGAAGTCCTATTAAATAAAATTACACGAACAATAATTCTTTTAGAGATAAGTTTTAATATTTATTTCGTAAGACATGGTTATGTTTTACCATATTTTAAGGGGAGGTGGGCTTCAGCCTGAAAGCTCCCTTTTAACCATAGATCGGCCTGTGATATGGCTGGATATGGTACCAAAGTAATCATATTGTTTAGGTAACAAAAAATAATTTTTTTTTATTTACTAATTTTTACAGAGATCTATCTTTTACTTTAATTTTTAAGACAAATAAATTAAATGCAACTTATGAGAATGTTAAAATGTATAGTCCGTAGTATACAACCCTTTTCATCAAATTATTAAAATGAAACTTTGTGAATAGCTTTATCTTACATATAACTTTATTTGTACGTAAAATCTCACAAATGGGGCGTTTTATCATTACATTAATTAATTTAATGTGGCATTAAAGACTCAAATCTTTCTTTTCATTTGAATCTTAAGATGATTTGATAATAAAATCGAGAAGGAAGGTGGCCTACAGATATATCGTACCGTTTGACCGATATAACCTTGTTATTTTGACATGTTTGGGGTGAAGGTCACGCCAAAAGGACAATATTTATGTGGGCCACTTTTTAAAAATTATCTTACGATTCAAATGAAATGGAAATGGGTGTTCCTACCTCGCCTTTCGACTATACGAGGGATTTCCTGGGTCAGGAGTAATGAGGGAGATTAACGCTCAAAGTCAAAAGTCCTCTCGGCACCGAGATTTGAACTCGTAATCTTTGGTTTATCAGACTGTCGGTCAACGCATGTTTTACACAACGTGTTACTCCACTTGGTCACTCAGCTCCCTAGGCACTGTGTTCCTATGATCCATATCCCGGTTTCGATTCTGGCTATGGCTGATAATTATCTATTTTACATTCAGAATTGCATTCCGAGGAACTAATGACGTTCCGAATTGTCGTTTAACGTAATGAATGAAGTACTGATGGTGGTGCGTTGCGGATTTCCGAACATCCGCAAATCAAAGGTTCATTCACGAGAAGTGGAGGGGGGGCTGAGGTAAAAGTAGTGGGGAGACTAACCATACTGCTGGATAGGTTAGGTTACCTAGGCCTCACAACCATTATAAATTTCTGATTTTCCTTATATGTAAATA